TCATTTTGACTATTTTGCGACTTTAGCCTTCAATAGTCGAAATGATTTTGACCATTTCGACTATTTTGGATATCCGAAATAATCCATTTCAACTTCATGTATAATGAAGGTGTTTCTTTTCATCATTGAAGGATTAATCAAAAAGCATTACAAAGAATCAGTAAGCGAAAATCAAGCCAAAAAAGCCGATGAACTATTAGTTAGCGTATACTATAGCTGGAATAAGATGTACTTATATTGTTGACGGAAATATTTTTTGGAATCAGAGTTGTATATTTTTGAGGTATGATAGATTAATGAGTTTTTAAAGTTATGGTACTAAAGTCCGATTATTAATGTAATGAATTAATTGTGTTTGTAAGAATTAATTATGAGTTGAGCAACATCATTTGTAAAGTTCTTTAAATTGTATTCTCCATCAAAGCTTTAATTACCAAAGCTACACATCTGGTGTTATCATGTTGTTGCAGCAATTAAAGAACATGAGGCAATTAACGATTTTACAACAGAAACATATGAATCTTTGCACAAAGATTCTATTAAAACCGTATAGAGTCAGTAATAAGCATAATGCAATAGATCAAATGATTAAAATGGTTAGTATCTATTTTACTCATTGTTTTAATGATTATATATATATTAAATTGCTATTGTTTTTTATAGATTTATCATAATTTGATAGTTAAATACTTATCGCATCAACATGTAGCTATTAACTGACGCTGACAAAAAACTATAATAAGCGGCCTTTTAGACACGTTTTTTTTAAAAGATTTTGACAAATTTTTTAATAATTACAAGTTAACCAATGATTTGGCTGACAAAGCTTTAATGACTTTTAAACACTTTCTACCAGCGTTAAACGAATTTTTTGACTTATGTGAAGGCTTAACTAACACAATTAATTATAAAATTAGCTAATATAGCTATACTCAGGGTTGGGAATTTTGTATATACTAGATAAAATTACCACTGTACTTGTACTGTACTTGTACTAATTTTTATATTAATTATTATAATATACTAACTGTACTAACTGTACTAATCATTATACTAACATTGTACTTCCCAACCCTGGTTATACTAATGCTATTCCTAGTGGAGATTATATTAGAACAAAAAGCAAATATTACAATTAACCGTCATTTAGCTATGTATCGATCAACATGAGCGAAGAAGAAACTGAAGACTATAATACGAACGAAGGTTCATGTTTTGGCAAGATACAGTTGATAATACTAGTAGTTTTATATTAATAATAATATTAATTATCAATGTATTTTATGTATTTAGGTTCTTATATTAATTAATGTTGAAATGGAAGATTATTCATCTTTTGACCTTGCCTTTATACGATGGTATGATTTTCATTACAAATATGATTCAAGATGTTTATACAAATACAATTGCCTCTTATTGTAGATTACAAACACATATAACGTTGTACCTGTAGAGTCAATCATTGAATTAGTGCATTTAATTTAACGTACTGAACAACCAAATGAATATTTTGTAAATATATACATATTTTAATTCGTGAAAATAAAGTTTAAATTTAAATTTTTAATTTTTTGACAAATCACAATATGCGTTTGTATACGCTATTGCACAATAGTATACAATGTGATAAACAACTAATAGTGTTGAAAAACATGTATAACAATGGTATGTATTAATAAACTTTAATACATAGCGTTGTGTAATGTTATGTATTGTGTTAAATTATGGGTTAGTGTTGATCAACACATATACTGGTGTGGGTCGATGTCTTCAAAATTTCCCGATGCCTAAATCCTTAAACCTTTAAATTCATAAAGTTAAGTAAAATAATTCTAAAGCATTCTGGATACCTGTAGAATGTAAGATTCCCTAAGGTTATAAAGTCTGATGATAAGGAATTTACTTGCTGCAGTAAAGTAACTTAGAGAAATACACGTGCAATATAAAGAAAATTATTCCCACTAATAGCGTAAATCTTCCATCTTTATATTGAAGAAGAGGTTTGAAATACTTAGCAGGCTTTATATCTTTAATCTGTTCTACACGAAGATTTGTATATTCAGTCAGATATAGGATCAGAAATGCACATGTTATATATCCTGGAGTTGGAAATTCATTAATAGGATTTCTAATTATTTGTGACTATATTATAGGATGATTTTTATCCTACATTCGATTGAAGGTATTTCTAATAGCAATGTCTTCATAGTGGCTAAGAGTGAAATTAAAATGAAGATATATGTAATCACGTCATCTTCATTTTCAATATCATTATCATCATCATTAATGTTTTTAAGTTGACCATCAATTGTACAATCAAGTGGCAAAGACTGAAGAACTTTTTCATTGATGATTACATTAGCGTAGTAATGATTGTTTTGTTTTAACCAAATTAATATATCTCAAATATTATTGATTTATATAGAAATGATAATCTCAAAACCTTAACAAGACAGACAAAAGTTCATTGGACTACAATATGATCTATCTTTATATTAGTTTAGGCTATATACTCAATTTCTTTTCAGCAATAAAAATTCCGTTCATTCATAATAAAAATATTTTTAGGAGGTAAATAACTTTAGTATAATGAACTTTGAAGTCCCTAAATGCTTTCAAATTACTCACAAATTGATGATATGGGAGCTGATCTATTAAAAGTTAGTTACGAGACATAGTAAATCATATGATCCGTACCTCAATTTTAATAGAATACTACCCATATATCACAAGCATTTCTAATACCGATGAATACCTAGGAAGTCTTGAAGCAATTTCTTTGATATCTTGAGGAAAGTTAATTATATTTCTACTATATTCATATTGATCTTCACGAAGTCTATAAACTGACATTACAGGAAATACTATTATAATCAACATTTTCTCAACTTCTGTAAGGTCCTGAAGTTCATCAGGTACTTCACCTAGGTTCATATTATTATCCTCAGAGAATTTTTTTGGAATATTCTCTTTACTGCAACGCCAACATTCTCCCTTTATGATTACTATAGATAGAAAATTTTCATTACACGTATTGCAATGCGAATATTTAAATTTACTAACTTTTTCATGAAATTTCTTCAAAAGATCTCGCTCAAATTTATTAAGTATACCAATGTCAGTATATGCATCTGTATCAACTGTGTCACTGTCTTGAAACTTTCATTGTAGATTTTATTATTGCAAATTCAAGCCTTGATTTATTGTATTCTTCAGTATTTTTCTTCATTTACGATAATAACTAAGGTATTTTTCATGTTATTCATCCATTTTCATTGCTAATTTTGCGCATTTTCACTCTTTATCACATTTTTTATGCACTTCTTGCTCTTCATCATTTTCTCTTGCACTTTTTTGCTGCCTGGTTTCATTTTGCTTTGCAAGGCATGTTTTATGTTGGCTAGATGTTTTGTTTTCTCTAGCTTTACACTTTTGAAGAGTGTTCTGGCTTACAAATTTATTTTCCATTACATATATTAAAAAGAAATTGTATAGTGGCTTGTATTTTGCCTTTGTTAATCAAACAATATGCTATAGAAAAATTGTATAGTGGCGCCTTTTTAATCAAACATCGCACAGCATGACCAACACGTCAAATTACTGTATTTGTTATATTTTATAATAAAATTTTATTAGGTTTATAAAAATAATGCATTTATGCTTACAAATTTATTTATATTAGCTTTTTTCATATAACTAAAAAAATTTCTAATATTAATACAAAAGATAATTTTTCGCTTCGGACTCACAACGGTTTCCGTTTCCTAGTTATATTATAAGCTAATAGCCTCTAAATAAAGTTCATTTAATATACTATAATATAATCAAAGATCTCATTTTATGTTGAAAGGTTCCCATAACTCATTTTTAATAGCATAGCTCCCAAATGGTCTTGAGAATTTTATATTAGACTTATCGACTATATAAATGATTTGGAATAAACTTTTATAAACTTCATCAATAATGTAAATCTGAATAAACTTTGTTAAACTTCATTGATTATTAATTGAGAACGTGTTTTGTAAGTTCGAACTCAGCATCATATAATCGGTTGATAAAAAATATTTTTTTTTAATCTAAAAATTTGATTCTTCGTGAAATATATTGACTAGAGGCTTTTTTTTTAATGCACCTGCGCAAAAGCATAGAAATTTAAAATATTATAAAAGTTAAAATTTTACGCACCGTAAAAATTATATAAAATTTTAGTGAATATAATTTTTCTGTGCGCATCAATACATTATTCTATCAACTAGAGGTTGGAAATATCAAACAATAAAATAAACTTAATTAGTAAAACTTTTTGTCGATCATTTTAATGTGGTAACAGACGAAATTTTTTTTTTTCGAAACTATACCTTGCAAAATGCGCCACATACATTTAAGACGTGCTATAAAAAGTAAGTCTATTCACGAGGATTTCAACTGTTATGACGTATACTTTTAACCTTTTTGCTTGTACTAAAGGTTAAATTATTTACGCCATTTACTCATTCATGAAGATGAAAATGAGTACCTTCGCGGTGCGGCATTTTTGCGATTGATATAATGAGTATTCATCTCATCAAGAAAAAATTTAGTATATATAAGGATGACGGTCCTTATCGTTAATTCATACCTGAAAAAAAAAAAAAAAATTTCTTCACTCAATAAAATCTCTAAAGTACATTCATAATGGTTAAAGCAGTTTGTATTCTTAATGGTGATAAACCAGAAATTAAAATAACTGGTGTCGTTACTTTCGAACAAGAAAATGAAAATGCTCTTACAAAAATTAGTATTGAAATCAAAGGTTTATCACCTGGTGAACATGGATTTCACGTTCAGTAGGTATCATTATTTTAATTTTTGTGTTCTTTTATTGAAATGTTGAGTCCTAATTAAACAATCGAATAAACCAGTGAATTTGGTGATAACACAAATGGATGTACCTCAGCTGGACCTCACTTTAATCCATTAAACAAAAACCATGGAGCTCCTAATGATGAAGAACGCCATGTTGGTGATTTAGGTAATGTTACTGCTGATGAAGGCGGTAACATTAAAACTATAATTACTGATAATAAAATTCAATTATTTGGTCCTAACAATATAATTGGGTAATGTTAACTTTATTTTATGTAATCATTAAAGATCAAATCTAATTTGTCAATTTGTATTATAAATGACTATAGACGAACAATTATTGTCCACGCTGGCGTTGATGATCTTGGTAAAGGTGGTCATGTAGAGTCTCTTAAGACTGGTAATGCAGGTGCTCGTCTCGCTTGTGGTGTTATTGGTAAGTATTCATAGTCATTCGATACTTTTCACAAATTCACATTTCATATTGTTATTTAATCATTATATAATAAAATATTTTTCTCACAGGCGTCTCCAAATAAATTACACTCTGTACATTATATACATAAAAGGTATAGCAGGACCACCAAAAAAAGTTCAACAAAACCAACCTTCACCAGAATCATATCGTAGAAATAAATTGTGAAGAGCGAAAGGAATTTTTTTTTTCGTCACTTCTTATATCAGATGTAATAAATAAAAATAAAAAAAATAAAGTGATTGATTATTTGACTATTATTCCTGACATCAATTATGTTGAAAGAATCGATTTATCAAATGCAAGAAAATTTATTAATTATTGAATTAAAAGTTAATTAATTCTAACCTTTTTAAAATTAAATTTTTTTTATTATATTAAATGTTAACTATTTACATTATTTCATATCATTGTTAAGATAATCATCATAATTAAAACAATTAAAACATTATAAACTTGAAAATTTTCGTACCATAATCAATTTTATTTTTTTTATTGCAGAATATTTACAGATTTGTACAAAAAATTTTTTCGTTATTTTTACTACTTGGTCATGATAATGCAAATATAAGAAGTAAAAAAAAAAAAAAATTAGTGCAGGGCATTCAGTCATCATCAATTGGAATAAATGTCCATCCGGCTGTAAAGGGGTTTACACCTTTTGCCATTTCCTCACGAAGTTTCTTGATTTTTTCACGTTCAGCGTCCTCTTCAACTGAGTCTCGAACGCGTTTCTTATCGGCTTCACTTTCGGTCTCTTCGTAAAGACCCCACTCATGCTTCTTGCGGCAATTTGTTCCCGCCGGACAATATCGACCCACCATGAAGTCTTTGCAGTGTGGTGCCCTCTTACTAACCTTCACATGGGTGTAATGGCAATCATCTTTAAGGCACATGCCTTTACAGAAGTGTCGACAATGCGGGATCAAATGTGCAGATTCGACGTGTTGAAGTGGGCATTGGTTGCCCAATGTGCATTCGGTTCCTTTGAGCCACAATTTGCAGACTTCAACTCGACTAGGATCGTGCTTGTAAGCGCAAAAGTCGCCTTCTTTGCATCGACCTAAAAGAAAAATTTTTTTAATATATACTAATTTCCTAAAAACTAAGATATGAAATTTATTAATAAAGAGAATACTTACCATATTTGTGGTAAAAAGTACAGTGTTTATTGACCAGCTTTGTCTTGAAGGTTTGATTTGGCTTCTTACCAGCTTTTTCGTCTTTTGCTCTGCCGGCAGAACTTACGGATTCTGTTCTATTCGTCGTTGCCTTTTTTTTAATGAGATCAGCACGAACAACAGTGTTCGGCCTTGTCTTAACAAATACATTACTTGTCCCTACATTAGAAGTTGGCCTTGGTGCTGTTGTTGGTCTTGTAAATTTACCTGATGTTGACATTTTTAGAGTTTTTGAACTCATGTTGTTAGTTGATACTGCCATTTGAAGACAGAAAGTTAAAATGGTAACAGTGGAGATCCAAGCTAAAAATTTATATTAAAATTAATATTTGTGACATAAGCCACACTAATAAAAAAAAAAAAAAGTTTTGTCGATTTGGTTTTGATTTGATTGGAAAAATTTTGTATAACAAAAAAATATTATGATTGGTTGTTTGTTAATTTTACTAATACAAATATTAATATGGGTCCAAAAAAATATTTGTATTACACAAAATTTTTTAATCTATTTTTAGATAAGGGCGATGACATATAGGAGGTTTGCTAGGTCTGAACATTTTTTATTAAAATTTTAATTTTTATTGCATTTTAATCTAACATTATCAAAAATTAAAATGCAATAAAAATAAAAATTTTAATAAAAAATGCTCAGTTCCATTTTTCTAGCAAACCTCTCATATATTAACTAATATTTAGGGGACATGAGAGATCTTAGGTTACACATAACTTATAAATCACGTGATAAGAGTAGCTTACCCAGTATCGCCTCAAGATTTTCTATCTCATGTGATATGCACAATTTGTCATACTGCATCATACCTTCATATTTTCATTTTTACTATGTATTTTGAGAACAGAGAATTTTTTCACTACTAAAAATTTTTTGTTTCACTTTCCCTTAAATGTCACCGGTCACGTGAGTGAAAATTTACTTATAAACTTTGAGGTAATATAATGTTAAATAGCTTAGCATTCAACAATAAATTATTAATAATTTTTTAACTTCAGAGTTATCAGCTACTAATTTATTTTGCAATATATTAATTTATTTTTTCAATATAGTTAACCACATATAATACTTTTTTTATCTTTATGCTAAGTTTTTTTATAAACATAATTTTATAGATAAAAATAAAATATGAAAACAGAGAAATTATTACAATTAGGATTTTACTAATATGAATATTACTGATTTTAACAATTTATTTGTTATATAGTAATACTACATATCATATCTAAATTTGGTATATAATAATAAGTTTAGAAAATAATGTAAAACAAATAAATTTAAATAATAAATAACTAATGAATTAAAGTTACAAAGGTATGCTTACTCTTAAATAGATATAGATTAACCTATAATTGTTAATTCTAAACACTATATAGGATGACAAGTTTCATTCAGATTTTTTTAATAGAATTCAGAAAACAATTTATAAAAAAAAACCAAGTGAAAAGAAATAAGTGAAGATAATAAAAAAGATAAAAAAAAGAAAGACCAGTTAAAATTATAAAATATGAAAAAAGAATGAAGATAGTTGGAAAAAGGAGTGACAATATAGGAGCTTTGCAATAGAAAGAGAGGAAACTCTAAAAAAATTAAAATTTTTACTTTTTAAGCTAATTATAATTTTTTTTATAAAATAAGTCCAGATTTAACATTAACTTAAAAAAAAATTTTTTTAGAGTTTCCTCCCTTTTTATTGCAAAGCTCCCATATTA